TTTGAGCTGCAAGGCATTCTTCGTGCTTCACAACGGCTCCAAAGAAGCAGCCCTCGAAGCTAAAGAGAAGGACACGACAAAGCCGTCACTGCACGCTTCCCACACCATGCCCATCGCGTAACCACAGCGGATTCTTGCTTGCTGCTCGCGCCTCAGGACCAGAAGAAATCCCACGAACAACAGGCGAGGAGTCGGGTGGACTTGGCTGCATGGACTCTTCGTGACGCCTGTCCTGCTCGGAGGGTGGCTCATCCTCCAGCTGTCCTGGGAAGCAGGTCTTTGCAGACCTCATTGAGGCACACTGCGTGCAAGTGACGAGCTGGAGCTTACAAAGTGGCCCGAGTGCATTGCAGGTGACTCTGGTGGAGAGGAGTCGATTTGGTCAGTTCGGCCCCCTAGTGTTGTGCCGTGCAGTCCCTGAGCAGTTCTTCTGATTGAAGTTAAAGCTTAGCAGGCCTAGCAGGAGCGACTGTTGCGTCAGGGTGTGCCAGGCGACCGGCGGAGGGTCTGGGCAAATCTGAGTTCAGCGTCTACCCAAACACTTCCGTATACTGTGAGGGTGCTTGTGGTGCTGAGTCTTCCACATGCGGAGCTTCCTTGCCAAGGTTCTGCAAGCAGCACCGGCGGCCGCTTAATGCCGGATCCTCAAATTTTGGCATGACCTTAGGCTCCTTGTCAAGATGCTTGTAGCAGGTCGCAGAGGTTCTGCGCGCTTGGCTTGCTCAGGCATTGATCAAGCAGACTCCCTCACTCCTGAGCAAGTCCTTCTCACCTGTGCAACTTGGCTTTGTCCTGGAGCTGGGGTGCTGCATTGCATTGTATTATCTTCGTGCATTTGGCAAGGCTCAAGCACATGCCGCACTGCCTGGACTTTGACAACAAGCGCGCTTACTTCCGATCTCAGCTGAGGCCAAAGCCGTGCTTTCTTCTGCCACTCCTTTAAGCGAGAAAGTGGCAGGTCCAGGCGGATGGAAAGCCGCTATGAGACTATTCGCCTTCGCGTCAGGCCTGGTCAGTGTCGGTAGCCTTGAGAGACGACTATGGACGTCAAAGTGATGCTGTAGCAGCCGGACTGCTCAGCGACTGGCCGAAACAGGCGGTCTGAGATCTTCATGGATTCTTACCACCAGCTGTCAGGCACTTAGAATACTTGCTCCCAGGCGCCATGTTTGGTGGGATGTAGCTTCATACCGTCATGCTGCTGCATCTCTCGCCCAGGAGGAACAGGACCGGCGAAGAAATGCGTGCGAAGATCCAGGCAAGCTGCTAGTGAGCCAGCCACTAGTAATGACAGAAGGTAGGGCAAGTGCAACATAACACCACAAGCCTGCTAAAGCCTGCTAGGCTTGGCCGAACATTCGATTTTGCCGCGAGATGTCTCAAACAGTACCTGCTCAGTTCCTCACTCCGGGCTGTTCGTTTGCAGACCGCATGCTCACGCCTGTGACTGGACGGGATTACTGAATGTGCGTGTGCACCCACCCACCCACCCACCCACCCATCTTTCTCAGACCGGCACTCACCTGCTTGAGCTGTTCGGCTTTGGGTAAGAGGCGGCTCATCTGGCACAGGAGGGTGTTTGAATCGCTGCGTTACCTCCAATTTGCGCTGCAAGTCACCCTTACCTTAGCAGGGTTGCCCGAACATGCAACATCGCAAACGGCCACCGAAACGACAGATCGGTTCTGCCCCCTGAAAAACTGCAGTTCCAGTCCAGCGAGTCCAGCGGCCCTAGACAGCCGCGACTTCGATACTTCCACGAAGACGGATATTCCTTTGCCAAGTCGTGTGGCTACATGGAATGATGCTTGCGAGGGTTCTGGGACTTCGAACCGGCGAGTGAGATGCCTCTGCTTTTCGAGCTCTGAGACGCGGCAGGTGCAATTCCAGGGCGAGGAAGGCCATGGACTCGAGAATCCGCAATTTATCCAGGGCTTTGCCCTCTGACTCTGACTCGCGGCAGGAATCGATGCTGGTGGCGTTGGAAAGGCCGCGGCCCTTCAGACGGGGAGGGTTCGCTGTCGGGCTATGCTTGAGGGGATGGGCTCAAAGGGAAAAGGTCACGATGTCCGCTAGTACAGCATGGGTGAAAGTCCAGTGTTTGAGCAGAGACTGGCAAATCAGTGTTGCTCGCATGGCAGGAGTGGTATGGGGCCTTGGCCAAAGAGATTTTCAATCCCAACTATGCCAATACCTCAGTGGCATCGCGGCTGGCTTCAAGCTTCAAGCATGGCAAGTCCGCATCACCGCACGACTGATGCCGATTGAGAGTTCTACCAAAGTTATCGGTCCTTCGCGTGATCGAGTCACCATTTCGAAAGTCTGGGGCACTGTTGCAGGCACTTTTTGTTCAAGCTGGTGGCAAAGCCTGCACTTATCACCCGAACCCGATGCTGGAGCCTCATTGACTGTTGCACTTACAGCACCCCCAGCTGAGATCCACAGCTCATGTCTGATCCTTTCTTTGTTGGTTCTGGCAGTAGGCGCATGCAAGAATCTTATGAAGCACTCTTGTGACTTGTGGTCGAGGTCCTATGTGACGAGAGATCACCTGGATTTCTTCCACTTCATTGGACGTGTAATTGGCAAAGCGATCCATGATGCTCAAAATCTGGAGGCCCGCAAGCCCAACCCGAGTCGTGAAAGACGCAAAGGGCCAAGGTGGGTGTTTCTGTGCCAGGCCTGGTTCACCCGTGGCTTCTACAAGCACATGCTGGGCAAGAAGGTCCCACCATTGCCAGTGGGTTCTGCAATGGTGAACTGATTGTCAAACATATGGGCCATTGGCTTGTCAAAGATGTTACGCGTGTGCACGCAACCCGCTTGCCCATTCTGCTTCACAGCTTGCGATTGCAGATGATTGCAGCATCGTGTCACTATCTGAGTCATTGCGAGGTCATCGCCGCAGATCTAGAAGCTTTTGACCCGGAGTATTTCTCCAATCTGAAATGGATGTTGGAGCATGCGGCAGCCCAAGTTTTTCAGTCACTCACGGAGAACGCTGGTCCAAGATAGTTCAAGCCCTGATCCCGGAGCTTCCCCAGCGAAAACGTTTGTCATGTCAAAGGCTTTGCTGTGCCAAAGCTTGCGAATAGCTTGAGAATCTCACTCAGGACATCACGGACATCATAGAGCTCTACTTCTGTGCAGAAAGTGATGACTTTGGCCAGATCAAGGTTCGCGGGATCGGACACACGCAGAAATCGCACATGCGGTACTCCGAGCTCAGTAGACGCATGCACCGTGCCGTTCTTTATTCAAGCAGAGCCACTGAGAGAAACTGCAACCTGCATTGCTGTCGTGCGGAAATTCGCTGGTTTGACCAGGTCGTCGACCTGAAGCCGAACGGTCGCAGCATGCAGCCCGTCTACAGTTTTGAAATTGAAGCATGCAGCGGTTGATAATGCTGCAAAGGATGTACCGGAGGTTGAAAGGTGCTCGACAAAGGTCCTTCTAATAACCAGCTGTAAAGGAGCTAAAATTTGGCAATCACGAATATGGGCTTTCCTACAGTTTTAGGAGGAACTGACATCTGACATCAGTGCGTGTCCGTGCTGAGTCCTGTGACCAACGAAAACAAGTACGAGTACATCCAGCTCATGTCAGAGCACAAGATGCCGGGACCTTACATGATGCAGCAAAGATCACTCCGGTACTCCGGTTTTGGTCCTCGAAGGGACGGACGTTGCAATAGTCACTCAGGACGAACTCTGTCCGACAACAGATTGACGCATTCCTGAAGGGCCGACATCTTACAACTAGTTGCTCTCAAGCATGCTACGAGCTGCGAAGTCTGGGGGCTCAGAATCGGCCGCTGAAAACAGGGAATGCCATGGAACAGTTCAGGCCTGCACGAGATCGTGCCGCCCGAGCTGCTGTCGCTGTTTGACGATGCTCCGGCATGTTTAAAGCCGGCCGTATGTTGTGGGTGGGCAACCTTCGTAATGACGGCAAGTGTAGATGCCAAGCTCGGCGCATGTATACTGGTACTGGTAGGTCATAGGGAGAGCTTGGCTGAGGACAAGGAGCTGGAGCTGCTCATCTCCGGACTGCCGGACATCGACATCGAGGCGGGGCGGGAGCTCACAAAACGCGACGGCCTCCCAAGAAAGATCTTTGGCCTTTGGCCTTTCCTTTCTCTCTCTTTGAGGATCTCAAGGCCAATACGGAATACCACAACTACACGGCCCAGCCTTGGTCTTAGTTTCAGAAGCGCCCGCACGGCCGCGGTCCAGGGTCCCATGAACAGCCGTCGCTCGAGGTCGGACCAGATCCAGTGGCTAGCAGCTTAGAGGACTTGAAAGCCGAATGCCGCCAGCCACTACAATCGGCCAGTGCTGCGATTCCCGAAGCTTCCGAGGTTTTGGAAGGTGCTCAGCGAATTCAGTCAAGAGCAGAGGGCATGGCCGGGACCCTCAGCCAAGCACGAACGATGCTGCTTCTGGCGTTTCATGCTGCTATGCCACAGGAGCTTCCCCAACTGACTGCAGTTGCAAGCACTCATCTTGTGAGGTTCCTTCAGTTCGCGACCGGAACCTCTCGTGTGCCCGTGGAAGGGTTTAAGGCCGCCCCCAGCTCCCTCAGTTCCCTCTCTCTGCAGAGCCTTTGCGTCCGACAGTCCGACAGCCCATCCGATCCGCTTGCCCTCTGCAGGGTCTTGTCGGAATGCGTGGACCACAGAAGTTCTGCATCCACCGAGCCTACGGTCCTGATCGATTGCCTTCTGTCCTTGGCTTGGATTACATTGCCGCTGCGCGCGCTGCGACTCCGCACGTCTGCAGAAGCTCCGCGTTGTTCAGGCCCATACATGCTTCAATCAGCCAGGGGCCTACGGGACGAGCTGTGACGAGCCTGACATGCAGTCAAAGAAAGCCCCCCAACATGGCCTTCAAGGCCTGGGCCCCTAAGAAGCACGCAGCCTTTTGGCCGAGGCTCGACCTTCCCGACTATCCCTCGGAAGAAGTCCTCCGAGAAAAGCTGCTCCAGGCAAAGGGCGGTCTCAGTCTTTGAACTTCTGATATCGGATAGCTTTCCCCCCCCCCCGGCCGCTGCGAAGCTGAAAGGGTAGACGGGCAGAAGGCTTTCTGCCATGATGTCGAGGAGTGTCTGAGAGTTGCCTTGCGAGTCCTCGTGACATGGCAATAAGAGCATCGTTCGTTACACAGGCCGCTCAAAGCGTTGACGAGAGCAAATGCGGCTATCAGGTTGATCAAGCAGCTTGTGACTAGTAGTGTCGAATTTGCTCCCCACCCCTAGTCACAGCAGTCAGGAGTTTGACCGCACCGTGTCTGATGTGGGACTGTGACATAGGATGGCTGCGAAGTTGACGCATGGCCACCGATGTGGTAACGTACATGCCGTCGCTTGCAGTCCTTGTTGCGAGGTCAAGGTGTCGCCGGTATGTCGCATCAGTGCCAGAGAGCGGCAAAAGTGTAATGAGTGCGCGATGTAGCTGCGTAGCCTGCAGGCCGTCCACGAAGGCCACGAAGGCTTCGGCTTTGCCTGAGGCTGCATCACAGCCCGCAGACGACAGTTGATGACCTGGAGCCAGAGTAGTGTCCCTGGCAATAATTATACTTGCTTGTCTTCACCAACCCTGCTATACTCTGATTCCGGGAATTTTAAAGCGGTGGAGCGGGAGAGCGATACAGCCAGTCGAGTAATTAGCAAAACACAGCATCCTGCCATCTTGCTGCAGAAAGACCCAAATGAAGCACTAACAAGCTCACGAGTCCGAAGAAGAGACAGCAGCGCCGCTGCAAGCAATTCTCACCCTTTACGAAGCTTCAGTGAAAGACCCTGAAGTCATCACGTACATAGATGACATAGACAATTCGATAGCACCTGTGGAGATGTCCAAGCTCTGCAGTCCTTCACGGTTCCTGCACAAACAGCAGGATGTGGAAAGTTGAAAGCGACTGCAATCGTGCAAGTGGCTTACGAGTCTCAGGCAAGTCAGTAAGTAGATCTATGTCGTCCGTGTCATTTAGTGCATTCACTCGAATCCCTCTGACCCTATCTCAATCTGATCGAACGCATTTCTTCTGTACAGTAGCCAGACGTCGTGTACAACCTGGCTGCTGACAGGGACTTCGGCTTCCGAAAGGTCCAAGTAGAACAGGAGTCAGTCAGGCGCCGTTGAAAATCGCCGACGTTCCACATTGGTCCATAGATGCCGCGGTGAGTTCCAGCCATCCTAGAGGCATGAGGCATACAGACATTGTGAGAGGTTCTGTGAACACAGCCTTTTGTTCTCAATCAGGTCCTGCTTGCACAGGCAGAGCGCTGCAAAGCAGTGCCTCTTGCTCTGCGAGTCCGGCAACCTTCGGGTGCGTGCTACAGCAGAGTCTTACTGAGTTACTGTAAACTCAATAGAGCCAGACCACCAGCAGCACTAGTGCAAGTGTTTTGATCTGGGTGGGTATTGCATTGAGGACGCGCCGCATTTCAATTCGCTGGGCCGGCCCTTTGCCATGTTTGGCACAGGGCAACGAACCCACCCATGAAGCAACTTCCTTACTTGCTTGCAACGACCGAGTCTGCAGCTAGTCCACTCTTTCGTAAAAAGATTCCACAGTAAGTTTGGTCTGAGGCTCTACCTGCTGCTTCCTTTCGCCTTTGCACATGGCCCGCCGAAGGCAACTTTGGTAATTTTGGACTTTGGTGCTTGGGGAAATCTTGTCGGATGCAAGAGTGAGGAGCGGTTGCCATTGCTATTGCTCCCACTGACCAAAGCCATCAAGTTAACCAAACGCCCTTCCCCTGTGTGCCATCGTTCGTACAGGTGCGAGAATGACAAACCACCAACTGGCTTGGAAAGAGTCAACAACCACACCCCGCTGCTGGAATCATATCGTTCTTGTCTCAGGAATCTCTTCATCCGTTGGGGCCTGGCTGGATCCGTAAGGAGTCCTTGCAGAAGCTTCCTGCCCTTGCCTCACTGATTTCCGCCGGAGAGTGTGGCGATTCAGTGGCTTGCTGGGCTCCCGTAGGTATCAATATCTCCCCGCGGTGAAGCTGCAATTCATCTGCTCAATGGCACTGCGATTGCAGCGATCACTGCACCAGTCGCTGCTTTGCAGCACGGCCACCGAGTTGGGTTGCACCCGAGCATGACTTCGCAAATGGCAGCTGTTAGTGTATGCATCCGAGGACAACTGGACCCGCGTACGGCACGTGCTCTCTGGAAATGATACACAGAGGCCAGGGGGGTTACGGCAACGGGTTGTTGTTCGCTCCGAAACTCAGGAACCGCTTTTCGGTACCTGAGCTCTAGGGATTCAGACCTCTCAATCTTGTCGAAAGCTAGACATTCCGCAAATCATTCGGCTAGCTATGACCTTGTCAATTGCAGAATCAGAGTTAATCGATGAAGGTTGCTGTGGACATGGAGGCTTGTAGCCCTGCATGACATTTGCCTTCAAGCAGCGGCACTACCTCTTGACATTCGCCATTGCCAGCAGTACTGGAAGCGCTGGAGTTTAGGGGCTTTGGGGTTTTGGGACTTCACCTTCCTGACAAACAAATGCGCACGTATGAAGACAAATGAAACTATCTCCAACGAGTTCAATCTTTCATGCATCACTCGGAACCCAAGAAATTACAGCAAATGCATATGCTCTTACGACTATCAGCCTGCGTGCTTGTCTTGCAGCTTCTGCCTGCATGCGAGAAACACGCATAAGATTGGTCGTGTGTACATTCTCTGTATCCATGTAGCAGTACACGTGTGTCTGCTTGCGTGCCCGTCACAATGCATTGATATCTTAACTTGTCTCTTATCTACTTCAGGCTTGCCAGTTGGACCGGTTTTCGGTTCTTGACTGTGTGAGCATAAAGGCTTGCAGCCCGCGTGGGTTTTGTTGCCACGGCCGCGCGCGGGTTTCGGTCGCAGTGTGCGGGAGCGGTTTCCGTTACTCCCAAAGCGATTCCCGTTACTCCCGGCACCGCAGAGGCAAGGTCAATCATTTTGCACGGCCTTTGTCTTATGTTCCTTGCCCTTGCTGGTAATTAGCAGGGTCGGACTGATGATCTTCACAGGGTCTTCTCACACTCTTTAACATTGGTATTTGGAATACCTCACCAGCTCGCTGAGACTTCTAAGCCCTGCATACACCAGAATCCAAACTGAGCTGGCCCAGGGCAGCAAATTTGGCGCAGCTGGGGACCGCTTTATACCGGTCAGGTATGGCGGATATCTCAGGTACAGTCGGATGTTTTGATCCATGGTTCAAGCTTTTCACGCAGCATGCAACGAACTCTGCCATGTCAGGGACGACACTCTTCATCTGGCTGGGAACTGTGCTCGTGCTCGGCCTCATCGTGGGGGTTGGCATTCCCTTTGGAGCGACCTGTTGCAAGCAGATAACACACTCCAACAGCCTGGCTCCCTTACTGACAAAAGCTGTGTCTGGTTCAGGTGAGTTACTACTACGAGGAGGTGGCTGCTGTTCCGTGGCTAAGCTTCTTGGCTTCAACTGGAAGAACAATCGTGAACTTGAAGACTTATAAAGTTCAGACTTTGGTGCAATTGCTGTGCTGCAGAGATCAAGGTAGTATACCTGATCTTCGGCGAAGGAGAAATCAGGACTTCGTGCTGTTTCTACATGCTCGATGCGGTCAGAATCCGCTGCGCAGAACAAATGGAAGGGATGTGTCCAGTGTGACGACCTTCAACATCTCCAGGTTGCAGATGCATGTCTGGCATGAATTCATTCAGCTCGAGCAACCTGCGAGATCTTGGCTGACTGCCGTAGGCAGATGCCATCAGTGTAGTTTCCGTCGTCCTCATGGAAGAGCAATTACGGGATGCTGCGCAAGACAATGCCATAGTCAGAGAAGCCGGAGAGGCTACGCAACAAGAGAAGCGGAGACAGTTGAGGGACATGGGTCTGCGAGTCCAGGTACTGTCAAGGCCTGCCGGTGAATCTGAAGAGGAGGAGTCATCTGCAAGAGAGCTCACCACACAGATCGCAGTCCAGCCTGGAGCGGGATACTGGTCGCTCAGGCGTTGACCCATGTGGTTCTGCATGGTCTGGTCGAGGCTTGCCCAGGGTACACGTACATGGGCCAGTGAGCCCGTGCCTGTCGGCAGAAAGCACTGGCCCATGTACGTGGTACCCTGGACAAGCCTCGACCAGACCATGCAGAACCACATGGGTCAAGGCCTGAGCGACCAGTATCCCGCTCCAGGCTGGACTGCGATCTTCGACGTGGCCGCCAGAGGTCCTGATCCTGATCGAGATTTGGAAGGGACGCCTGCCCAACGATCTGGGCGCACGCGAGCAGCGAACGCCAGAGCGAAGAGAGCTGCAAGGAGTGCTGAGGTTGCTGCTCCTGCTCCCGCGAGGAAGGTCCGCCGCAAGCCTTCGACTCAGTACTGAGTCCCTCGTTTTCTGATGTGCTTGTATGCATTCATGTCTCGTATATCTAGAATTTGCTATTTTCTGTATAGGTTCTAAAACACGTCTGTGTGTATGCACTGCTCCTGCATATTTTCGCCAGAGATTTTGCATGCAAGCACGTCCCGCATTCGCTCGACAGCTTTTTCTGCGATCTCTGCTTCGGAATCGCCTGCCAGCTGCTGCACAGAAAAAATAAAGGACACGGGGTTGCCCAGGGGCATGGTGGCCGTTTGGCGCGATCGACGTCTCCAGGAAACAGCCACGCCGCCCCAACGGCCCCAGCGCAGCGAGAGCCCAGAGGAGCCGTATGCACTGTCTTTCCTGCTTCATCTGCCTAGAGTGCACATGACAAATCGCAGTACCCGCGTATGTTCACGATGGGGGAGCTTTTGTGGCAAACCAGGGTTCGGCAAGATCATGTGAATTTTGCTAGGCTCGCAGGGGTTCGTCCCGACGAAGACCTTCGCGGCGACGCGAACGAGAGGCGAGGAGAAACGCTCGTGTCGTGAGACTGGTAGGTTTTAGATGGCATCTTACGGCTGTCCCTAATAAGGTTTTACCTTTGCCAAATGCAGCAACACATGACATGCTTTTTGCACTGCTTGC